CAGTAATTCAGCCAGAGTCCTCCCCTCAGCCAGCCGCACCTCCATTCCGGCCGAACGAAATCGAAAAAGTCATAAGAGGGCTAAAACCAAAAAAGGCTCCCGGTGGTGACCTATTGACCCCAAAGATGCTGATCGAACTTCCAAAATGCGCTATAGAGGTCGTCTGCAAACTATTTAATGGAATCATTAATCTTGGCTATTTTCCAAAAAAGTGGAAGAAATCCATCATTATAATGATACCGAAGCCTGGAAAAGACCACACAATTCCGTCATCATACAGACCAATAAGCCTTCTATCTTGTTTGTCTAAACTGTTTGAAAAATGCTTGTTAACTCGCATAATACCACATCTGGAAGCTTGCAATATCATCCCGGCACACCAATTTGGCTTTCGAAGAAACCATGGAACCATCGAACAAGTGAACAGATTAACATCCGAAATACGCTCAGCCTTCGAACAACGAGAATACTGCAGCGCTATTTTCCTCGACGTATCTCAAGCTTTCGACCGAGTTTGGCTCATCGGACTCATGCACAAAATTAAAACGTATTTGCCAACATACACCCACAAGCTACTGGAATCATACCTCTTCAATAGGGTATTCTCAGTGAGATGCAACGCAGCTACTTCGGGCGACTACACCATCGAAGCTGGAGTTCCACAAGGAAGCGCACTCGGGCCGTGTCTATATGTTTTGTATACTGCGGATATTCCTACGAGCGCACAACTAACAACGTCAACGTTCGCCGATGATACCGCTATTCTTAGTCGCTCCAGATGCCCAACGCAGGCAACAACCCAACTGGCTAATCATCTCACAATAGTGGAAAGGTGGCTGTCCGACTGGCGCATTAAAATAAACGAACAAAAGTGCAAACATATAACGTTTACTCTTAATAGACAAACATGCCCTCCGCTTTTACTAAACGGTATGCAGATCCCTCAAGCTAACGACGTAACGTACCTTGGCGTTCACCTTGATAGACGACTTACCTGGCGTAAGCACATCGAATGCAAAAAGATGCATCTAAAACTGAAAGCCAGCAGCCTCCACTGGATCATAAACTCACGATCGCCACTGTGCCTGGACTACAAGTTACTACTGTACAATTCAGTCCTAAAGCCAATCTGGACGTATGGCTCCCAGCTGTGGGGGAACGCGAGCAGCAGCAACATAGACATCATACAGCGCGCACAATCAAAAATCCTGAGAACTATCACAGGGGCACCTTGGTATGTTCGCAACGAAAACATCCACCGGGATCTGGGCATCCTCGCAGTGAAAGACGAAATCCAGAAGCAAAAAGAATCATACAAAGAAAAACTGTCTTCGCACCCAAATTTTCTCGCTCGGGGATTGACTCGGGTTTCTAGCGTATCCCGCCTGAGACGCAACGACCTCCCAACCCAGCAATCGATTTTTAGGGCCGTCTAACTCCGTATCAGTCAATATGACTGTTAGTTAAGTTAAAAATATAAGATTTGATACACCTCTTGTTAGTCTCGCAAAGAGAAGATTCAAGAAATAAAAGCAACGTTACAAAAAAAAAAAAAAAAAAATATGAACCAAATGGTAAAAAATTCGTGTCATTGCATCTTGTGTTTTTGCTCGAATATGATAACGACCCATAAGCCCATCCATGAGGTCAACACCGCCCATGTGGGCATTATATTCCCGAATAATTTGGGGACAATCAACCTCAATATGTCTTTTAGATTTCTTGTCATAACGAGCTATCTTTGCTATTCCTTCATTTGCATTTAATTTCAAAAATGGCTTAATACCAACATAAGTTGATAGCAAGCAAACGGCTTTATTGTCTTTCCATAACACATTTGTTATATCGATGCCATATGACGAACCGACATACTCAGTCGAAAAACCTCTTGGCTGTTCCCTGATCGAAATGTCATTCGGAAGCTTGCAATTTGGAATGCGATTAACACGCACTATTCCTAGGCTATATATCCCTTTAGCACGCAGATAAACCATCAACGGTAAAGAAGTGTAAAAGTTGTCAAAATAAATGATGTAGTTTTTGAAACTTTCTACCGTTTTTGTCAGGCGTACAACAATGTTTGCCGAAGGTCCAAGATCTGGATGAGCAGGCAAGATAAAGTTGTCACCTGCACCACTATAAATTTCAAACCGGTAGGCATAACCAAATGAGTCGCACAACACAAACAGCTTAATACCCCACTTATGAGGCTTATTAGGAATATACTGCCGAAGGTGGTATCTCATTTTTGTGCTGCACATTTGTTCATCGACGCAAAGTCGTGCTTGCTTTGGCACGAAGTCAAACCTCTGGTTAAGGTGATCTAAAAACGTACGCGTGCGATACAGTGAATCGTATCCTGGCTCACCTTTCTGGATTCGCTTGCTCTCATCCCGCAGTGAGAAGTATTTTTTGATTTCCTCAAACTTGTTTCGCGACATGGTGTGTTTTATAGGTCCAAATGCATTTATACCCCAGTAGCTTTTTATATTAGGGTATCGATAAATTGACATGTAAATTAAAATTCCAATGTAGTGATGGGCATCGTCAACGCTGAATTTGAATTGATTGTTTGTGTTTTTCGTTAGTGCTGACCGAATGGTTTCTTCAACAATCATATTCATAATCTGTGAATCGAAGAAGTAACAGAAAATCTGCAAAGGTGTTGCAAGTTCCTTTATACTGTCTGGGAGTGAAGAATCGCTCCGAAAAGCTATGTCGTTGACATGTAACTGCATCGACTGCTGCCTCCATGTTACCTTAGTTGGCACCTTGTTTATTAATTCAACACCTGTTCATAAATTAATTACTTATTTGAGTACCACTTTATGACTTAGATTTCTTACCGGCACAATTAAAACCACCAGAAGAAGGCTCAAATGTACACACTGAATATTCAATTGTCGGCAGTGGTGAACGAGGTCTCTTTACAGGATTTTTGGTATTTTCTAGCTGCTGTACGTTTTCCTTGACATTATCTCCGCTATTGTTTATAAATGAAATGGTTTCGGCGTCCTCTAATGCCGCGTTAAGTGATTCTGCTAAATCCAAGCTGTCTTCATCGTCATCACTAGAATTACCCAAGAGTTCCTCGTCAACATCATTGAACAAATCCAGCAACTGTTCATCGGTCAACTCGGATAATTTAAACCGTCTATGCATTCGACCTGCCATTTCGGTTTGTCTTCAATGAGAAACCATTTAATAAACAGAAAAAAACACAAAAATTGCATGCAGTTGTGAAAAAAGCGGTGTTTGTAAAAGGTCGCGTGGTGTCCCAACAGTGCCTCAAGGCACTTATCACAATTTCACCGCTGCAACGCACTTTTTGTATAAAGTTGCATATATACAACTTGATTTGGATAATATAATATCTTACCTTCAAGAAAAATAATTTTTATTTGGCTGATTTGAAGTTATTTCACTTTTATTAATTAACATAAACACACTACGCATCTCACAGCAATTTTTGCGCGCGAATGCATGATGGATGTAAACAACACAGAAAAAGTACCGTTTTAAAGCTTCGGAGAGCTATGAAAGCTTCCACTTATAAGTTCACAATTTTATTGTAAGCTGACAAATATAATTCAAATTATTAAAAATTGTTTCATTTTTTAGATAATACAAATTATATAATAAGTGCTTTGAGGCACTCTTGGGTATTAGAGGGTTAATTTGATTTTCCATTCCAGATCATAGAGCATCGGCGTAGGAGAAGCCGTTCGTGGTGTTTGGGCGAAGAAGACATCTGACGTAGTTGTTGATGCAATGTACACATTCTGTGGATTTTGATTGCACGTTGCGGTCGCTTGTCGCATGCAACTCTTTAACTCTTTGTACACCACACATCCTCTCTTATTTGCCGTATGATTGCCTCCGCCGTTTCCACATTTCTTCACGGTACTGTCTTCCTTGTTTTTAGTGCCGTGAGCAGAGCTGTGGGCGTCCCCGAAGTGTGCAGTATTGACGTAGTGTAATTAGACTTTGGCAATTAGTGCATTGCACTGAAACGTTGCGTTTATGTGGCTCTTCTACAGTAATTCTGTGTTGCAAAAGATATAGCTGCTTGTAAATTGGGTGGACTTTGTTCTTCTTCAAATACCTGCTTTCTGGCTGGAGATAGATCTTAAAGAGTTTAATAACATTCTTTGCTGCGAAGCCCTTTTTTGCTCGTCTGTCTTTGTATGCACCATTATTTCAAAGATGTTGCTTTTAACAAGCGAGACAACATGAATGTTGTTACCGTTCCCGATCCACGGCACAATTTGGTTGACCAAGTGGTTCGAGCTTTTTTTCCTGATGTAGATTAGAGGGGGCTGCGTTTTTTGCGGTGTCTCGGTGTCTTGCGCTGTTTGGTTTTCCTCAACCTCCGCCAGTAGGGAAAATCTGTTGCTACTAGATCTGCCTGGTTCTTCGTCGATCTTCTCGTCGCGGGTTATTTTTGTTTTATCTATTGCCTGCCGGATTACTTTGCGGGCTAAGCTTGCGCTTAATTTAAATGTAGCGATTCATTTCGGTCCGTGTTTGGCTTTGTGACACATTTGGATCGTTGTTCATTGAGCTAATTTGCGTGACACTTATTTATTTAAAACAACTATCCACTAGTTTTTTTTTTTTAACACATCACACATTGGCGAAAGCAATACAAAAAAAAAAATTGCAGGATAAATACCATGGAAGATGTGTTAAATGCCTTATTAGTTTCTTCCGACCCCTTTCTTCTTTGATAACTTCAGTGTCAAATGGGTCTGCAATTTCTTTTACTAAAACAATTATTATGGACGCTAATGTTATGAGTTTGCTTAAACAAAGCATATGGATATGCCTCTCTCTCATCCTGATAATTTCAAATAACATTTTAGCCTTTTTTAAAAAAAAGATTATTTATGAAATATGCTAATTAAAGTTAAAAAAAAAAAATAGACGTAAAAAGAAATTATGCATTAAAAAAAGGTTTTTTTGTTAAAAAAAAAAATAGTTTGAAAAAAAAAACCGACTGAAGACATATATTTTAGTTTAGAAGTTATTAATTAAAAGCCGCTAACGAGAACAAATCGCCCACTGTGCTGCCTCGCGGCTAGACTCCTGGTCTTTACATTCCCTCCTTTTCACCGTTCTGATTCTTGAGATCCTTGAATTGTTTTGGCTTGTACTGAAAATGTAATTTATATAATTTTTTTTTTGAATATTAAGTTACTTCCCAGCTCAAAAGAGGGGGAATAATTCCTTGGCCGTCCCGTGAAGACGGGTAAACGCCAACGCCTATGGGCGAAATTAAAAATTTCAAGATACTTGTTATGACAATGCAAACAAATTATTTATGTTAATATGACTTGAGTCTTGGTGATGTTGATGAAAAATAAACGATAATGAAGAATGATGCGATAGTCAACTATTTATAGTCAACCGTGTTAATACATACAGTAGCGGACAATGAAATCCGGACACCTAAGTACGTAATTTTTGTAACGAAACGTCATTTTTTGTAACGACACCAAAATAATCCACTAAATGTGAACTTTGCCTTAGTGTGGTAGGAGCGCGTGTTGTTATATCAAGCTGAAATTTTTTCGTTATATCCGGAAGGTATTTAGCTTTCATGATCTGAAAGCATTTTTTAAATTATTAAATTTCTTATAATATAAAAAAAATTATTTTTTTAAATATATCGAAAATGATTGAAAATTTTCAAGGGGCCATATTGGCCTTACAATCGAAAATCTTAAGCTTCCGAGGAATAAGCTGTAACGTTTGATTTTTTAAGTCTTCTTTTGAAGATTTCCTACAAAATTTTGAGAAAACCAGAACTCTAAAGCATTTGCCAAGGATCCACAAGAATCGAATCCTTTCACGATTAGGCATGACTGATCGTTTCAAATCAGCAGAAAATGTAAGAAGTATGTTTTTCCAGATGAAAGGAGTCAAAATAAGAACTCGAACCGTTCGAAGGCACATTGAGGAGGCAGGACTTCATGGCCGGCGAACAGCGAAAAACCCAGTCTTGACCGCAAAAATGCTCCAGAAAAGGCTACAGTGGGTCAAAATGGACGAATCTTGGATTGTACATGATTGCCGAAACGACATTTTTTGTAACGGCACCAAAATAATCCATCTGTCTTACAATAGTATGAGCTAGGTGCGCCCCAAACGCGACAAACGCTTCAAAAATAATTGCGTATTAAAAATAATACGGCGAAAGGTCAGGCAAAGAGCATGCCGAATGGTCCGGGGGTACTTTTCTTACTATGTCGTTGGTGATTTGGCATAAATTGATGGAACTGTGAATGTTGTTCTAAGGTGTTCTGAATCGTCACCTTCTACCCTCAATGAAGGAGCATCTTTCTCATGCCCGAAACACAATCTTTCAGGACGACTCAGGTCCTTGCTACCGTGCAAAAAAAAAGGGATATATATTTTTTTAATTCTTTAAGGATTTGTTTAAACGAATAAAATTTTAAATTTCCAGTATTTTTTTTTTAAATTTAGGCAATAAGTTATTTGCAAAAAAATCGAATATTAACATTAGACTGGCCTGGTCCTGATTTCTATCCGATTCAATATTGTTGTCCTATTTTAAAAGTTAATATACATAAAAACAAACCCAAAAAATACGAGAATTTAATTTAACAGTGGAAACAGTGTGTCTGTTATAAAGACACAATTAAGAAATCTTTCTATCTTTAAAAATACGACAATTGGGTCATTTCCGAATGTAAAGTTATTAGCAGCTATAGGATATAGTGAAATTTTGTGTCATATTATTTTGCCAAAAATGATATTCATACAAAATTTGAACTCTCTAACTCTAAAAACATTAAAGTTATATTCGAAAGTGTCTGTTATAAAGACATAATTAAGAAAACTAACGAACACTTGGTAGATTTTATGCCATCAAGAATAAAGGCCGTATTTGAAACTCAAGGAAGACCAACTAAATACGAAAGAACCAAAACTAAATTATTTTTGAATACGTTAAATACTAAGCTAGAAATAATTTCAAGAAATTTTTGTTACCTAGAAATAGTAAAAAAAAAAATTTTTTTTTGGTTGCCTACATTTTTGTTAATTTCATTGAATATTTAAGTACGTTTTATACGTTTATACGTTTTATTTCCAAATAAAACAAAATGACATTTAAAAGAACACCGATTTGAAACCAATTTACTTTATAAAGTAAACGCTGGCTGAAAAAAAACTGAAAAAGTAGTATTTTCTGCCTGTCCGGATTTCATTGTCCGCTACTGTATATGCACATGCTGGTTGTTATAGTTATAATTATATCCAGTGACATGATATGAGAGTTGTTAAAGAAGTTAAGATGTAACAAGAAAGGAAAGCAAAATTCGGGCGAAGCCGAAGTTTATATACCCTTGCAGTTAAAACCGAATTTATATTGCAAACATCGGATATAGTTGGCCGATCCTTATGGGAATATGAATATATAATCCAATTTATTACAATACAAAATCTAAAAAAAAGTCCCAAACTTCTATCTTCAAAAATACCAAAGTTGGTATTTCTACCAAAAACAATTTCCGATCGTTCAGTTATATGACAGCTATAAGATATAGTTGGCCGATCGTTATGAAATTTGGTAAGCCAGATTAACTGACCAAAAATATAATCTGTACCAAGTTCCAGCTTTCTATCTTCAAAAACACGAAAGTTGGGTCATTTCCGATCGTTCAGTTATATGGCAGCTATAGGATATAGTCGGCCGATTCTTACAAAATTTTGCATGTCGTATTATTTTGCCAAAAATAGCGCTCATGTAAAATGTGAACTCTCTCACTCTAAAAACACCGAAGTTATACCAGTTCCGATCAATCAGTTATATGGCAGCTATAGGATATAGTCGGCCGTTCCGACTTATATACTGCGTGCAAAGGAAAGAAGGGTGTGTGCAAAGTTTCAAGTCGATAGCTTTAAAGCTGAGAGACTAGTTTGCGTAGAAACAGACAGACGGACAGACAGACGGACATGCTCATATCAACTCAGGAGGTGATCCTGATCAAGAATATATATACTTTATAGGGTCGGAGATGTCTCCTTCACTGCGTTGCACACTTTTGGACAAAATTATAATACCCTCTGCAAGGGTATAAAAAGTATCTTATAAATCTATATTAGCCATTTCAATGAAACTAGTTATTGAGCTGTAATTTTCAACTAATTCTTGATAAAAAATCGATAAATGTTATCGAATTTGAGAAAAAACGGGGAGTTCCTGCGAATATTATGGTATTTGAAACAAATTAAAATTATGTGTGAAATGGTTCTATTGTATTGAAATTGCAATCGCAGTTTGGTCATGGACTTTTTATTTGTATAGGGTGTATTAATCAAAACAATAACAGCTGATGATTCTATTATTTTGCTTGATCTGCAATATATAGATTGCAGTTTTCAGATTGGAACCATAGTTTAAGTAAGGTATATGGACAGTCTCCTTTATTCCTTTCTATGCAAAAGGAATTATAGTCGCGCTCCCAAACAGTTTTAATTCTGTTGATGATGTGAGTTTTAGCATTATTGATCGTGTATCTGATATTTATACAGGATCCCAAGTTATTGGGGTTTTTAGCAGCAGAGTCAGCAACTTCATTTCCTTTGATATTCAAATGGCTCGGAGTATGATGGAGTCGAATAAACAATATATTGTTATCAATTTTTCGGAGTATTTCAGCCACAATGCGATTGATATAAAAACTTTTAGTTGTGTTACTATTGACATGGTAAAAAGAACACCCCGTGAAATTATCTCTATTAGAATTATCCGTGTAAATAATTTCAAAGTTTTGACTAGTTAATAAACTATGCTTTTCTTTAAAAAGATTGTCTACCACGTCAGGGCTGCTAGATTTCTTGTTTTGGCAAGAACCCTTACAAAACTCGAATCAAAGGTTAAAAACCGAGGCTTAGAGAATGAAGAATCAACATAGGTTAAAGAATCGAAAATGTCTTTAAATTCTAAGTATGTTTTGATATAACTAGTTTTTTTTTTGAGGAGAAGTTGTTTTTATTTAGTAAAGCAGCAAAGAGATTAAGAGTGAAAATTTTAGCTAATTCCTTAGCTGTAGCAAAATTTATTCTATAGGCAGGGGGAACATATAATAATAATAATACCCATAATAAAATTATTCTAAAGTGTATTCTAAAATTCTAATTATTCTAAATTTTTTTATTAAGAACAAGAAAGGAAAGCTAACTTCGGGCGGAGCCGAAGTTGATATACCCTTGCAGCTAAAACCGGATATACAATCTCAAACATCGGATATAGTTGGCCGATCCTTACATCATAATAAAACTAATTAATTACAATAAAATCTAAAAATAAAGTCCCAAGCTTCAATCTTCAAAAATACGAAAGTTGATATATCTATCAAAGACCATTTCCGATCGTTCAGTTATATGGCAGCTATAAGATATAGTCGGCCAAACCTAATGAAATTTGGTAGGTTAGATCAACTGACCAAAAATAGAATCTGTACTAAGTTTCAGCTTTCTATCTTCAAAAACACGAAAGTTGGGTCGTTTCCGATCGTTCAGTTACTCGTTACTCGTTCAATTGATCAGGATCACCACCTGAGTTGATATGAGCATGTCCGTCTGTCTGTCTGTCTGTTTCTACGCAAACTAGTTTTTCAGTTTTAAAGCTATCGTCTTGAAACTTAGCACACACCCTTCTTTCCTTCGCACGCACTATATAAGTCGGAATAGATCGGCCAACTATATCCTATAGCTGCCATATAGCTGATTGATCGGAAATGGTAAAACTTTGATGTTTTTAGAGTAAAAGAGTTTATGAGAGCATTACATGAGAGCTATTTTTGGCAAAATAATACGACATGCCAAATTTCATATGGATCGGCCGACTATATTTTATAGCTGCCATATAACTGAACGATCGGAAATGGTTTTTGGTAAAAATACTTTAGTTAGTTTTTACTTACTTTACTTTACTTTAGTTTTTTTGAAGATAGAGATTTGGGATTTTTTTTAGATTTTGTAATATAATAAATTGGGTTATATTATTATATTCTCATAAGGATCGGGCAACTTTATCCGATGTTTGCCATATATATCCGGTTTTAACTGCAAGGGTATATCAACTTCGGCTCCGCTCGAAGTTAGCTTTCCTTTCTTGTTTCAAAAAATATTAACAAACTTGTGCTGGAATAAGATTTCTGTTTTGGGTTCTATGTTAATATCTCACATAAATCCAAAAATAAAAAATCAAATGTGTCTGCTAAATATTAAAAACGAAAAATATACAATAGGTGCTCTCTTTTAAACGTTATACATCGCTATATTTTATAAACCTTAAGCCTACATTGTCATTAGCCTTCATTATTTGCATAAGAGCGAATATGAGCTTTCGCTACAGCTCCACTGTAAGCTTTTATACTACATATATTAGAGATAACTACTTAGAGGTAAAAAATTCAATATTTAACTTTAATATTTATACCAATTCAAATTCAAAAACTAATTAAAATGTCGTATGCGTTTAGTCTTCGAGATCCACTTTTAATAGCCCGTTTGTATGGGAACCGGTATTTGTACTGCCCTCAACTGTCTTGTAGAGCCTTGAAAACATCGAATTTGGCAAACTTCGATGTTTTAAAACATCGATGCTGGTAAAATCGAAGTATTCGATGTTTTGAACCACAATACATCGATACATCAAAGCATATATAGGCATTTTTTTACCCGATTATTTTAAAAGACATATTTAAAACAAAATAACGTATTTTATTGTTCCAGACAATTTAACAAAAATTTTGTTTTCCTAATAATAGAAAAATAAAAATACAAAATTAATTATTCAATATTGAGATCGTAGTTACGATTTAAAAATAATAACTGGTCTACAGCAGATGGTTTTAAAGAACAGAGCTTTAATAAAGTTAAAAATAAACTTACCCTTTAAGCTTCTTTTTTGCGCGTACTCTTTGTGAAGGTAAGCAACGATAGTTGAAAGAAAAACATCGATACATCGATGTTGAGATTACTGTTGAAAACATCGTATCGATGTTTTATTTATTTTCGAAAACCTCGATGTATCGTCGATGTATCGCCAAGGCTCTACTATCTTGACAGATAAATGTTGATAGAGAAGTTATGTGTGGAGCGACCGATATCTGGAATATCTTCTCTAGAAATCGGTCGATCTGGACAAAAACTTGATTTCAGATAAGAATAAACTATATATATAGAAAGGCATACAAATTTTTTCAAAATCCTGTCCTGATGCTACAGAAATTTACGATTTGTAGAAGCAAAAAATGGCATGGAAAAAATTTAAAACAATCTTGAAAAGCGTGGGCATTTTAGGAATCTCCGTGGCGGATCTCCACGAACGTACAGACAGACATGGCTATATCGATTCGGCTGTTGATGCTGATCAAGAATATATCTACTTTATGGGGTCGGAGGAGATGATTCGTTATCACTGTAATTACATTTATACGAATAAAATATACCCTTGTACTCTAAAAGTACCGGGTATAAAAAGTATCTTAGTTTTTATTAAGTATTTAGTACTTGCTTTCTTCTTACCATATTTTTTTTCATGTAAAATTCCGAAACGAGTCCAATTTAGATAGTTTATAAGATCAATAAATGCCTGATTTACGAACTGTCTTGACGGATAAATGTTGATAGAAAAGTCATGAGGGGAGCGACCGATATCTGGAATATCAAGGGCATCACATATAGAATGAATGTGAGTAGCTAAAGTTGAGTCGGTTGGACAAAAAACGGCTTGGACTCCACTGTGAATAAGTTTGCATACTGTAAATGAGTTTACAGTCTTTTCATTAAAAAATAAATAATTTTTTGACATGATCTTACTTTTTTGGACTGTTTCAAAAGAATCAAGTTGGTTTACGTATTCAACATCGTATTCGATGATTGTCTCAGGTAATAGACTTGAGTCCCGGTTCAACCTACAAATATTAAAATATTTTCTTCAAACAATAATATTAAATAATATATATACCTATGAATTGCGTATCTGAAAGCTAACTCAGCACCATTTTTGACCATCTGCTTTGGAAATAGGGCACCTTAAAATTCATAACATATTGATTTTTTTTATTTTTTATGTCTACTGCTAAGAATATTACCAACTCGTATAATAGGAGGTACACCTTCAACAACCGTAAAAAAATAAGGAATAAGTAAAACCATCACTTTGAAATACATAATGAATACTAAAGCTTTAAAGGTAGAAAAAATCTTTTCCATCCTTATATTTTTTTGAAGCCGGACAACTGCATGCACAGAAAGAAAAAATCCAAGAAAAATTTAAAAGAATAGCCTTACAAATTTAATTCTTCCATTACAAATTTATATTAGGTTCTTGGCACAGTAAGCACACTATTTTTTATTGAATATTCAATAAAACACTTTATCAAAGTGTCTTAAAAGAAAATAAACAAAATATCACAAAAACTATTTGAGCAAAAAGCAAATGTGTTATTTTTAAAGTAGTAAATCTGTAGTATCCATTTTACTTTAATAATAAATAAATAATAAATTCAATATATAAATAATACTAAATTAAAACCAGTAAGAAAAGCTTACTTCAGGGGAGCTAAAGTTAAAATTTCTTTGCCGTTAAAATCCGATATATATCGCAAAGGCTAGATTTGACCGATTCTTTTGAGAATTTCATAATAAAACCAATATATTAGAATAAAAAAATTCCAAAAAAAACCCCAAGCCTATATCTTAAAAATTACCAAAGATGGTATTTTTACGAAATACCACTTCCAAATGTTCTGTTATAAGCCTAGTACTGAGATCGATAAACATTTTTGACGACTAAAAACAATTATTTTTTCCAGAGTCAACGTATATTTTGAAGTTAGGCACTACAGTTCCTTCTAAAATTTATTTGAAATGGAATTTAAAAATTGACAATGTTGAAAACAAATTTAAGAAGTCCTTTGTGGATTTTGGAGATTTTCTGTGGACCGATTCATTTGAGAATTTCATAATAAAACCAATTCATAACCAATTTCATAATTTGAGTAAAAAAAAATTCCAAAACAAACTTAAGTCTCTATCTTCAAAAATACCAAAGTTCATATTTTTACCAAATACCATTTCCAAAGATTCTGTTATAAGCCTAGTACTGAGATCGAAAAACAACTGATTTAAGAAGTCCTTTAGTGGATTGTGAATCAATTCACAGTGGGTAATTCGGTCTTGCTAACGGAATTTATATAAAATTTTTAAATTTAAAAAAGCGTTGATATATATTCCTAAGATCAGCTGATCAACAGCTGTGAACGGAAAAACACATCTAAATTCTTTCTTTTTGCGCGCATTAATTTCGAGTTCCTCAGAAATTTACAATTTTTATTGAGTTTTTTAAAATTTTGTCTTTTTAATATCTTCAAGGTATGTATTACATACCTTGTATTACATACCTTGTATTACATACCTTGTATGTTACATGTTTGTGACATACCAAACATTACATGTTTGTGACAGTTCTATAAATGTGGAATCCGTGGAAATGTGGATTCAGTCTAACTTTTATTAGCCGAAAGTGTGAAACAGTCGAGCCCAAAATGTGTAATATAAACTGCTATTACCGGCTAGCCTTCAAATTATGGTATTTTTTAGGCACAATGTCGGTAGCAAAAGGGATGTATTTTTAGTATGGCACTCAGAAGTCATCCCAACCAAGAAGTTTGTTTTCATAGAAAACTCGTTTTTTGGTACTGTTGTAAAACACCTTAGATATTTATACTCTGTGAGATTGGCAAAAAACGCATTGCGAGATTGGCAAAAAGTTACAAAATTTTTTACTAGTACTAGTATTTTAGGCACATTTTAGTAATTAGGTATTTTTTAAGCACAATGTCAGTAACAAAAAGGGATGTATTTTTAGTATGGCACTCAGAAGTCATCCCAACAAAGAAGTTTGTTCTCACAAAAAACTCGGTTTTTGGTACTGTTGTGAAAAACCTTAAATATTTATACTCTGTGAGATTGGCAACAAGAGCATTGCGAGATTGGCATAAAGTTACAACATTTTTTTACTAGTACTAGTAGTACTAGTGAAAAGACTGTGAAAGGAATAGGGTTTTTTTTTAAACCAAAATCCAGGAAGGGCTATCTATATACGCCGCTGGTATTTATGGAAATCTCATCTTCAAAAAATGTTGGACGCCCACAAAAAGATTTTGCGTATTGTTGCAAAAATACGCAAGTCAAAAAATTGTCAGACCTATCTGAAGATGTCCCATTACATGCATTGTTGGTAACTGCAACTGCAATCATTATACGGAAGTCATGGAATGATTTTGGAGCCATTAACAGTGCAGAACGGACCGATAGTTTTATGGAAAAACGATACCCCTTTTTCTACTCCATTTTGTCGACCCATTAATATACTTTGCGAGAAAGAATCGGCTGACTTAATTCGCATAGAAAGTCAAAATATTAAAATCCAAATATGAAATATTTTACCTAATTAATGAGTGGCTTTAGAATTGATCACCAATTTCGCAAAAGCAATAAAAGAATAAATTGCAGGATAAATATAAATATATGAGATCTAGAGTTTATTAATCTATATATATAAAAATGAAACCCGTTTACCGTTGTCAGAAAATCACATGAAAACGGCTTGACCGACTTGGCTGATTTCTTTTTGTAGTATTCTAATATTCTGTACAAGGTACTTACGGAAAAAAATATTAAGAAAAGCGTTTTTAAGTAGCTGCGAAAACTATAAAGACCACCCTTTCCTATTTCCTATACGTTTAGAGTATAGGAAGGAGTCCTGGTTGCGTTTAGAAATTGGTTGATATTTAGTGACAACACATTAAGTTTCTTTGTTTTAAAGACTAAAAAGTTTTTTGTTTGCTAATAAGTGTTTGTTAGTCATGGTAAGTTCACTTTACTTCATATTGTTTTTTGTTAACTTTTCGTGACTACACAGAAACCACTACAAGAAACCAAAAATGCCAGCAACCACACGTAGAAACTTAAGCCGCAGAACTCGAAGTACGGCAAGTCAAAGATATATAAGGTCAAATCTAACTGATGAGCAACGCGAAGCGCGAAACTAACTTCAACGGAATCTAAATCAACATAGAATTTTTGTGTTTAATCCCCACAGAGCTGCATTCAGTTATAATGGGGCAATTGATTACAGTCCAGAGCAAATTGTTGATATTGGGCTAATGAATATTTTGTGTCGACATTGCAATGCATTGAAATTCAAAAAAGAAGCCCCTGAACTGTGTTGCGCCAGCGGCCAAGTCAAATTGACGCCATTGGTACCACCACCACCACCAATTGCTCTACAATAGTGGTGCAGAAAACATCGATGGAAACATCGATACCTCGATGTTTTGGAAAAATGAAAAACATCGATGTTTATTTTTGACCATCGATGTTTTGGTGCCATCACTTTTAGAAGAAGAAGCAATAAAAGAGTGTAAAGGTTTGTAATTTGTCACTTATTTTTTATTACATTAATTATAACGTTTAATTCATTTACTTTCAATTATAGGGCATGCGATTGGTTGTGTAGGTGGAGGCGCTGTGTGTTTTATAAAGATGGGTAAGTTCTTAAATCGTAAGTACTTGAAAACTTCACAGATCATAAAAGCTCAACTGCAAGCGCATACACGTATATGTCGGGAAATGGCCATCGTTTTCCTCTGTCATCTCGTATTTTTCAACGCGCAGCGAGTCGCAATGATCTTTTGCACGTCCGTTCACTTCAGTTCTTGATTGCCTTCCCTCTCCTCTTCCTCCTTTCCATCATTGCGCCACGCTCAGCAGGGCTTTACTCTCTTTCCCCACCGCGCTCTCATTCACAAAGCTTGTCTCTCTTCATTTGCAATGCTTGTTTATTTCTTCTTAGTACTATACTATAAGAGGAAATTACTATACTCTTAACTTATAATTAATCAGTAAATGAGGTATTTGAAATTAAATCAAACTTATCTCCGACATATACATATCTTATATTTTATATATTTTTTAATTTAAAGGAACAACAAAGAAAAACGAAGCTCCGTCTTCCAAACGGATTTAAAAAAACATCAGGACAAAGCTACCTGTCTTCACTGTGGCAAAATTTTGAAAACGTCGGGAAATACGACAAACATCATACGACAAACATCATGGACCACCTAAAAAATATTCATCCGAGTTATAAAACATTTTGAGACTGATAATGAGTCACCGAGGTTGGATAAGTATGTGCAACCGAACGCAGTTTACCCGCAAGACTCCCAAGAAAAAATTAAACTGGACAGATACGTAATGCTCACGATAGCACGCGATGTGTTACCGTTTTCTATAGTTGACGACGAAGGTTTCCGGTATTTAATACACCACCTGGACCCGAAATATAAAATGCCGAGCAGAAATTATTTCAGAGACACAATGTTACCTGAGGTGTAAACTAACTTGAGAAAGGACGTTGAATGTGAGCTCGAAGGGGTGCATTATGTGGCAATTACGACAGATGGATGGACTTCACGTGCAAATGATGCATACTTAACAGTAACCTGTCATTTCGTTACGAAAAAATTCGAGCTGGTATCAGCAGTCCTATCGACGGCGGGTTTAGTAACGCCCACCAACCACACAGCAATGAATGTGGCAGATACAATTCGGCAGATCTTAAATGAGTGGGGCCTTCAAAATAAAGTTGTAAGTATAGTTACAGACAACAACCCAAAAAAAAGGGCCTTCGAGGAGGCGCGAAAGAGGAAAAAGGGGGTCAACCGGTCATCCACCTGTCAGCCAAATGGAATGTCGCCCGGATCAGTACGGGGGGTTGGGGGGAATGTGTCAGCCATTTATTGTGGGTTCCGGCGAAGGGCGAAGTAATGCTGTCCGTGGGAGGACGGAAATCCACGGTGCGTAACGGTGTCCGGTGAAGGGGTAAACGCCGCCACCCGGGGGAAGATGCAATCGACGTGGAACGTAACGGTTCCCGAAGCAACGATGGAAAAGTACTCCAGTGGGGAAATCAGCACGATGCGCAGGCGTGCCTTAGGAAGGAGCGGCAAGGAGCAAAGGGGGGGTTACGACGCAGAGTGCAGCGGGCCCTGAAAGCCCACCGGTGCATCACATAGTAGCAGCAGATGTCCATGGCCAGGAAACACGAGGGGCCACGGACGGCGACCACCAACGGGAAAAGTCTCGGGACGAGTCTTTATAGGAAGCTTGTAGCGTTTAGTTGGAGGAACGCCTGTAGAGAGTCCGCCATTCAAGTGTTAGAGCGTTTCTAAAAAGGATTCGGTTTTGTTTGAGTTGAAGGACCGCCTTTGGAGAGTCCGACAGCCAAACGCAAGGAGAGCGAGTAGACAAATAAGGAAAGGTTCCCTTGCTGGACTTTCCTCTAAAAACCCAGGGCCGTGTAGTCGATTTGGTCCATTCCCGAACATGGCAGGTAGCCCTGCAAGGAAGTGAGGAAAGGATACGTCTGGCGTACGCCTTACCGATTCCTGAAATCGCAACCAACAGGCGTGGTCCTGCGAAACAAGGAGGCCGACTCGGTATCACACGCCCGGTAGTCACGAGACGTACAGGACAAGGAAGACAAGAACCCGTGGCTGGACGATTTCCTCTACGAGCCCAGGGCGTCAGAGTCGAGTAGGGCCATTCCCGAACACGGCAAGTAGCCTTGCTACTGGAGTGAAGAAAGGATAAGTCTGGCGTACGCCTAACCGATTCCTGGAATCGCAACCAACAGGCGTGGTCCTGCAAAACAAAGATCGGCCGATTCGAGAACTCACGCCTAAGTCAAAGACCGAGTGAGAACACCCTGGTCACCAGCCCCGCCACTACAAACTCGGGTTCGCCGGCGCGTATGCACGGTGTCCCGGTGTAGCGGGAGCGCGACGCACGGTCAGTCATACGGCTACTTCCAAACCTGGCACCGGAGCGTATGCACGGTGTCCCGGTGTAGCGAAGGCGTCATACGGCAACTTCCAAAACTGGCACCGGAGCGTATGCACGGTGTCCCGGTGTAGCGAAGGCGACACGCTTAGGCAACTTCCAAACCTGGCACCGGAGCGTATGCACGGTGTCCCGGTGTAGCGGAGGCGGCAGTCAGCAAACAAACTCCCGAACCTTAGATGAAGAAGTACAGGCGAGTGATCAGACGATAGATCTGATAAGGAGTTGGCATTTATCAGGTTGCGAGGAATGTTTTTTGTGATTGCAAAATCTATCAAGTCTGGCAGTTTTCTAGGATCTGTTGGCCAATATGTAGGTGTCCCAGGTGACACACAGTCTAGCTTGTTGCTTGCTTTTATTATTGAATTTTATTATTGCCTTCCCTTCAGAAGGAGTCAGAAGTCGAGATCCCCAGTGCTTGGCATTGAAGTCTCCTGCTGCTATAAATTGTTCGCTCAGAGAGTTGAAATATTCCATGAATTTGTTATTATGATATTGTAAACCGAGGAGGACAGTATACGGCGGCAAACTTTAAAGATCGGAAATCCATTTGCATATCTATTGATGTAGCTTGCATGAAGTTAGGGGCGAAGCTATTGTGGAAGAAGTGCCTCCGTGAGCTTTCCCGTCTGGGTGATTCGTGTTGTAGAATAGATAGCCTCGAATTTGAAAATTATTTTTATTTGTGAGATGAGTTTCTGTGAGTAGCATTACATCGATATGGTTATTATTAAGGAACTGAGTTAAATATAGATGTTTATTGAAAAAAACATCGATGTATTTTGAAAAACATCGATGTGTCCATACATCGATGTTTCTGCACCTCTACTCTACAATTACCTAAATACATATTTATATTCTTGCAGATTCAGGGTGAAATACATCATAGAACAGGTTCCTTGTTGCCAGTGCCTGATGAAGACTATACATTTTTGCAAATATATTTTATGGGCAATTCAACATGAGAAGTCGATCAGCGTTCTGCACACAACAACTCAGTGAAAAGATCCATTGTGGAACAACTTCAAACATTTTTCCATCAATACAATGAATTAGTTGCATTATTCACAGCTGCATTAGACCGCATGCCATCAGATAATCATAAAATTGTCATCAGAGCCGATAAGGCGCCTGCAGGACAACATGCTGGACGTTTTAATGCGCCAACAATTAATGAAGTGGCTATTGTCGTCCTAGGAGAAAATTTAGAAAACCGAGACATTGTATGCCTACTATTACGGACCCTAAAACGAAACAGTACCCGGGCAAAGCCGGGCTGGGCAGCTAGGGCAGCTGGTTTTTATATAAAGGTCCGGATTTGGATATGGAAATCTCAAACGGCTAAAACCAAATAGCCCTTGCGTTGTTCCAAGAAGGCCCAGAATGGAACCCTTAAAAATCACAAAGTAATTATTTACTGAAAAAAAATAAAAATCATAAATAATCATTATTTTTTATTTTTGTTGATCAAATATATCACTCAGATCATGATTGCGGGATATTTGTCAAATTTTGTGGACATTTGACTTCATACCTCTTTAGACCACATACACAAGTACCATTTAGTACAACCATTTTCTCACTATCACCCCTTCGTACCACTAAAAATTGGGTAAATTGAATATGAACCTTCTATTAGTCATAGAAACCAATTTTTTTTATGCAAATTTAGAGATATTGAATAGGGGGAAAAAAAGTTTGTTTTGATAGAAGTGTATTAATCTGCAACTTATATGAGTGGTCAGTTATCTATTTATTTATTTATCTGTTCATTTATTGATATACATATTTATTTATTTAGTTTAATATTTAGTTATTAAAATTTTGTCGTATTCCTTAGTATATATTAGACGAATAAGGCAGAACTCCTGGTAAATAAAAAAAACCAAAACTCCCAAACAAAAAGAAAATCAAACCTCTATGGGCGGTCTGAGTCTATCAATGCCCGAAGAAGGATAAAGAGATAAGGACATTTAAAACAAGAAAAGAAAGCTAACTTCGGGCGGAGCCGACGTTGATATACCCTTGCAGTTAAAACCGGATATATATCGCAAACATCGGATATAATTGGCCGATCCTTATGAGAATATGATAATATAATCCAATTTATTATAATACAAAATCTAAAAAACTTACTAAACTTCTTTCTTCAAAAATACCAAAGTTAATATTTTTACCAAAAACCATTTCCAACAAAGGGAAGCAATCCCGAGAAATCTTAGCCATTCAGGACCAGTACAGCATGGGAAACGCGGAGGCATCTTTTAAACGCCGGGAGATTCAAGCCCTTATACATATGTTAATCCCAAGAGCAGCTAAGGGTAGATCTCAGCCAGTTGGTTGATCGAAGGATCGACCTATGCATGAGGACGGAATTCGAGCAAATCACCCGGAAGTTAGAACAGAGCAGAGTAAAGATTCCGTCCTTTAGGTCCTCCGAGTCCTTGATGACGACGCAATTGGAAAATCTGTATGGGATGCCATAGATCAAGCTCCTTCGGGACTTTCACCGATTGCTGACAAAGAAAGCATCCGAATGGTACTGGAGAGAAGTAAAAGAAGCTCTGCAACGAAAATATTGCAATAATAGAAGCGATTACGATCGGATCAAGGATATCGCGGAGGAGAGAGGGGGATAGGGAGAGTCATTGGGGGAGTATTTTATGGCTCTCTTAATTGATTATCAAGACGGCAAAACGGAATCTCATGGAGCTGATGAGGATCTATCCAATACGAGTGTTCACACTGGAACACATACACGATGAAAGCAAGGAGGTAGAACGAGTCCGAAATCCGTAGCGAAGAGCAGGGTATAGACAACGCATGGATACAAGCACTGGGACGAACAAAAAGTAAAAAGCCAGGAGGAAATGGAACGGAAAAGTCGGTGGCAGCAGTCACCAGCGGCTCACCCCGGAAAGCGATCATGTGCTGGAACTGTCAGCATGCGAAGCGCCTCAGCGAAAGTCCAGAGGAGACAGTAAACCGGATTAGGATAGCAAGTAGAGTATCTGCGTCTGTACCCGACAGGCAAAAAGGGATGATGGAGCTTACAACACGTAAGGAGATTCAAAGCTTGGAGGAGAGGGTGCGTTGGTACAAAGAGGTGTGGGATACAATCTTCCGGTAAAACCAATTAGCTGGGAGGACGATGGTCACGAAAAGGGTAAAGAAAACCCGAGAGTTCTTTAAAAGAAGAAAATAGGAACAGGAACA